AATACTATAGACACCGTCAGTTTAATTATTACAAAATAGCTGACGCGTAGTCTTTTGTCAATTTAACCAAAAAAATGCAAGATAGAGCGCGTCACAGTTCGAGAGTGGGGCTGGTAACCTCACGCCTAAGTACAATTTGCACCAAGACCTTTTTTTCGATAACGGGGAGAAAAGAAAACATTATATCCACGACAATGACCAACGCAGTCAGACCCGTCTTTCCCAGTGGGCACTTTGGGCAAGTGCCCAGGGCCCCGCGATCGATAGGGGGCCCCTCAGATCAAATACAAAGTCCCTAGTTCCTGTTAAATCACCAAACGGAAGTCATAGGGGCCCCATTATCCTAATATGCCCCACGTCTGCGGGGTCCCCGCAATACCTCGGGAGACCCCTGCCGTGGAGCCCCGGCTAGGCCGGGAGGCTGCTGGGTGCGGAGACGCGGAAGAATCCCTAAACGGGGATCCCGCGGTTTCGCACGAAGCAGTTTGCAGAGGGTATTCGCAGGGTTTTTTAGAGGATATTTTTTTAGGGCCTCCAATAGATCAAAGACGGCACTGAACGCCGTGTTGTTTTGCTGTTAACAAACCCTCGCGAGGCAGGTAATTGCGTGGTGCATTTGGCAAGCGGCGAGCAGCCCGAGGGCCGCTAGTCGGTGCGGGTATACTTTGACGAGCACTCACGCAAGCGCGACACACGAACGTCATGCAACATTTCAAATCTATACTTATAATAAATCTGTAGAGAGGTCAATTCTGTACATGAAATATATTTTCAAAATAACTATCAGGGGGTTATTAGTGATCGAAACTGATGCCAAAAATGCAATCAGTAAATTTTTTGTCTGTCTGTCTGTCTGTGGGTATGTTCCTTATAGAAACAAAAACTACTCGACGGATTTTAACCAAACTTGGTACAATTATTCTTCATACTCCTGGGCAGGTTATAGTATACTTTTCATCACGCTACAATCAATAGGAGCAGAGTAGTGAAGGGAAATGTTGGGAAAACGGGAGAAGTTACTCCATTTTTTAAACTTCCGTCGCGTGTGTAGCCTTAATGGTTAAAGTTACATAGAAATCATGTGTAACGGAAATATTCTACATAAAATTGTCTAAAAAATATCCCGCAACAGCATACGTCTATCTTTTATGGTTGACTCACAATAACACGTGTAATTATATAAATAAAGTCATTGTTTATAGCACAAGCCTGAGAACAAAAACTATAGTTTACACTACAGCTCTACACCGAAGCGAAGCGAGGGCGGGCCACTAGTCTATAATATAATAATAATAAAATAAAAATCTTTATTGGATAAATACCAGAATACCCTGGCTCCTAAAAATATAGGATTTACCTGTGTATTAAGGAGCCAGTATCTTCCAAAAAATAACACATTTACTTGGTAATTTCAGAAGCGTATATGGCAATGTTTAATATTTTAAAAATAGATAGCAAGTTATTGGCAAAATATATGGTTAGTGTTTCGTTTTTATCCAGCGTGTGTGCTTGCGTGTGCGTGTGTGTGTATGTGTATGTGTGTGTGTGTGTATGTGTGTGTGTGTGTATGTGTGTGTGTGCGTGGTTACGTGCGTGTGTGTAATAATATGTCTGTAATGTTGTGTTTTGTTTTTATGCCTAAACAGTGGGACACAGCATTCCTAAACTTTTTTTCATTTTTAAATCTGTTTTTTATATTTTTTATTTTATAGTCATACCTAATTGTTTTATCATTTACATTTGTAATATTGAACTCATTTTTCAAATTGACGACTCTGTATATAATACAGGGAGAAAAAAACAGCCCTTGCTGAGTTTCTTGCCGGTTCTTCTCAGTACAAGGTCTCCCGCCGTAGATTTGCGAACCGATGGCGTAGCTTTTCGACATTCACAAGTGCTTGTAACAGCCTAGACTGAATAAATGATATTGATTTTTTTTTTTTTTGAATTTTTTGTTTATGTGAATAACCCTTGCTCTCGACGGCTTCAGCCCAATGGTGAGTGGGATAAACCAGATCACCAGCCAAATGAGCGTGACGGAAACCGTATGGTCGGTCGCTAGTTATTAGCTGATGCTTTTCAAGATATCCCAAAAGGCATGCGACTTTTTTGGGTTGAACACTCGCTCCATCACTTTATGGTAAATTCAGGGTGTATTCCGAATCAAACACCAGTCCTATATGGCTTCCAAATCATGACGTCATTACCACTGGCCAGCTATTGATCAATGAGCTATTGAACTATTGATTATTTGTCATTTGATCAAAATGGCATCACTCGATATGGCGTAGAAAAACCGGTCAATTCATACTACCGCAGAGTAGCAGCGCATCAAATTCATTATCTCCGCAACGTCCAGAAGGAATGTGTGCATTCCGTTGCGGAGATAAGGGTGAATTTGGTTTGCTACGTTACTGATATTCGCTACAATGCGCTTCGACTCTGCGGTAGTATGAATTGACCGGTTTTTCTACGCCATATCGAGCGATGCCATTTTGATCAAATGACAAATAATAATCAATAGGTCAATAGCTCGTTATGCCAATAAATCAAAAACTAATTAGATCGATGTTTTATATGATCAAATTGCAAATAATCAAATGGCTAGATGATCGATTTGTGAATCGAAGGCAGAATAGATTTTTTAAGAAATATTAAAAATCACTGAATTATATCCCTAAAATTATATATTTATATGTCAAATTGTCAATAATTTAATTGTTGATTGATCCAATGTCACAATGATATATTCAAAATCGATTTATTGAAATATCAATCAAATGACAAATCGATATAACAGGTTTTCGGTGATTTGTAACAATCAACAGGCATTTGATAAGGCGTAGAAAACCCAAACCATAACGGTCAACTCACACCAAAATTCTTTCAACTGCTCTAGTCTGAATTAACCATTAGTTAAAGATCAGAGAACTGATAAATGCGAATTCTTTGGAAAAGTTAGTCCAATGTATAAAAAATATTTGGCTTTCTGTTTACATGGTACACTGATAAGTAATTATTATGATGACATAACAGGCTGGTTATCATATTAAAAAGCTTGTTGAAAACAAAATGTTCAATTTTCAAAACAGTTTCAATTTAAGATTTAACATTATTTTTACACATAAATGCATAATAATACTTGACGTACACAATTGGGCAGAGTGAATGAAGAAAATAATGGACCCTTCCACCAATTACAATACTTGAGGTAATAATACGTTAATAGAGTTGTATGGTGAAAAATTATTAATAATAATGATAGTTAATCATTATTATCACCTATTCACTGCCCGGGATTACAACCCAGCACTTTGCGAGTTGAAAACCATTCTATCGACCACAGTACCATGAAGGTGGTGATCAATAATGAATGAAATAGTTGCTCACACTACCCTAGCCTGATACAACTCCACAAAGGAAGTATTAACGTATCTGTTTTTGATAACAATACACATTAATCATAAAAATCATCATTGCATCATACTGTTACCGTTTTGTGCATCTACTTTATGATAAGTAAATCCTAACTAACATTACAAATGCCAAAGTGAGTTTGTTTGTTACCCAATCATGCAAAAAAAATGCTACTGGATGCATTTCGATGAAATTTAATACACACATATAGTGTATGACCTGCCCCTGTAGCATGAACACTACAATTTACATTACGTTTTTTATCGCATCTAACTGTCAAACTCCATAGTAATTTGACAATTGAGCGTGATAAAAACGCGTAATATATCATATCGCGATGCTCATGCTAGGGCAGGATTCAGATATAGGATACGTTTTATCCCGGAAAATGTTAGGTTCCCGTGGGATTCTCAAAAAACCACCAGACTCACTATTGCTAGCTTCAAAAACACCCGCTTATCGCTTCCTGCTTCACACAGCTCAATTGCGGAATGCTGAAGTTTATCAGCACCTTGCGTCCCTTGAAGTCCTACTAAAGGTAGTATCATAGTCCTTGACAAGCAAGTTACTGTTTCATTCCATCTATCACACTTGGATCTGTAGGACTATTCGCTAACTGTTTTGACAGGTGGAAGTGATCACCGAGTTATTTACTGATCTACTACTGTTTTATTGTAACACCACTAAATTACTTGTTCTGAAAAGCATTGATGTATATATGCAATTGTCTCTTTAGTTGCACACTGCAAATAGGCCGGCAAATATCAGCATATTTGAAAGATATTTGCATTCAAACTTGAGTAACATAGAAAGAAGTACTATTACATCATAATTAATTTAAATGTTGATAATTGTATTTAAACAGATGTGTTAATTTGTTTATTTAATATTTTTATTTGAATTAATTTTGAGAAAACAGATAATTTAGATACAAATTATTTATAATGAAGTCAAAGTAAAAATTTATAACGATTCCAACAAGAATTATCTATGATTACTAGTTTTCATCTTAAAAATGTATCCGGTTGAAAGTTAAAATTTGAAATCCAATTAATACAACTTCTTGTTTGATTACTATCTCGGTTTCTGATTAGATATCTGCATAAAGAGTTAATCTAAATAATATAATTGCAGTGACAATAAAAGTACCTAACCTCAAAATAAGATTCATATCATTCAGAAGATGATTTATCTTTAAGTGTAAATGCATCAACAACAGGCACAACTGTATAAATATGCAGATTGTTCAATATAAAAACACAAGAAGAAAAATCTAATAGGAATCCTACAAGTGAAAATAAAGAGAAAAAGTCAAATCAATGACATCAAAAGGAAATTTAAAGTGGAATCTTTTGAATATTTCTTAATGCATTGATCATATAGAAATGTTATGACAAAGGTTGGCTAGACTTTATGCTTTTGGTAAAGACCGAATATTTCACTGGGAACTACAGATCAAGGGGGTCAATATTGAGTTCAAACGGTGTAACAAAACAATTATTTAAGATGGGGTGACTCATCAAGGGATGTATTTTTCCCCGAATTTCGTGCATAATAAATCAGATAAGGAAAAACCCGAATACCTTTATTCTTACCCATGGTAGTGACGTTGTAATCTGCCTGTGTGAAATGAAGACTGCACACTTTGGAATACTTCGTGTAGGGCTTCCCGCGTTTCAATATCGAATTCCATTTGTCCGCCATGGTAACGTCGCGTGGAAATCTGTGAAATTTCACGTTTTTCGTCTTGCCGGCGAGCGATGTGCATTGTGGTACAGTACAATAATAACCCATCTTCACACCACTTCGAAGCTTTGTTGTTCAAATTTTGGTTAGATGCGGCACCGATTCACCGCGTCCACGCGAATTTCACATTAAAAACACGAAAACTCAATGGCGAAAACTTGACTATTTGTTGCAATCGTTATCACGTTGCTAAAAAAATGGAATCATCACAGAACAGCCTTGAAAAATTTGACATTTATCACCTTTTTTCCCTTCCCCACTTCCCAGTTTTTTCTGAAAAATGGCCACTTCAAAACCATAGACAAATGTTTGTCATCCTGAACATAGATTATAAATTATTTATGCACTTGTTGATCGTTGAGCTCATCATCATCAGCAAACTTAGAGCATATACCAATGGAGATGGCATAGGCAGGCGAATCCCTTTCGCCAAAGCACGTGGCCACTCGACCATGTGCGTTATATAAAACTAGTTCACGCGCGACCGCTATCATTTTAGATCGTTCAGTATAGCTCCAACAAAAATGAAAAATTATAATTATATACTGGAAAACGTTCAACCAGGTTTAATGAAGTGCATCTGCCGATACAAATAGCAAGATGATAAAAAAATATACATCGATAGATTTTATAATAAAAAACCAACATTTAATCATTCACGATCTATAACTTAACCAAAGAAAGTATTACAGGTGTATTCTGGCATGAATGTCTAAGCTTAGAACTAAATTTAACATCAGTCTCTCGTTTCCATTCTGTATAGAGAATGACATGGATACACTGTTGTCAAAAAATTAAGCATTTTAAAGTTGTTTGTTTGTGTATCGGTTTGTTAGTTAAATTGATGTAAATAGGCAATAAATTGATGTAAATAGGTAAAGGTAGAAGAAAGGTGATCAAATCAGGTAGATAATTATCAGGTCAGCTGCCCACATCGAGCAAATTTTATAGCCTCAGTAATTGGTATAGTTGAAGTATAACTTTTTTTAATAAGCTTTCAAATGTCAAATTAAAAGGTACATACCATCACTTCAGGCCCTTGATTTTATTCAGATGCACCATGATTATTATTGTCTCGCGAAAAAGTAACGATCACAACATACTTACGAAAGTTTGATCATGGGTGTTACAATTAGGATTCCTCTATAGTCCATTAGATAAAATCTTATGTTATTAAGATTCTTTATTAAGAGGAATTAATAATAAGTATTTATTTGCCCCAAAAGAAACATAAACAAATACAGAAAACTTAAAATCAAATTTTAGATTTAAAGAAAATATAGCTAGAAAAAATTCCACGCGGACCAGGCAGCAGGCGGGACTCAAACCCGCACCCTTCGCAATCCGGGCGAATACACTGACCAATTATGCTACCGTGGCCCTCACGGACCGCGTCGAAAATCCTCTAGCCATTCTTAACCTGCAAAGCAGCACCATCTCTTCGCATTATAGGTAACCCACAATGTCAAATGATACTTTTACAAGTATTTATTTTCAGAGCGATGTTGGGATTGCTCCGCTTCTGTAGTGCCTCCGGAATGTTTGCTGTAACTCGAACAGATGGTTTCCATGCCGTCTTGCGGCAAAAAGTTGCGTCCCTGATGTGTAGAGTGCGGAGCAGTAACAACACCATTCTGAGAGTCGTGGCAGGTGATCCGCATGCACCATTTTGGAGGCGCTCCGTGCGAATGATGACTGAAATAGAAGTTAATTATTCTTCCTGGTGTCGTTCGCGCGGAGTGCCTTTAAGGTACATGACGTATTAAAAATCGAAACTTTTGTGAATACTTACTTATAGGCTACTAACCCTTAGTTATAAGTTATTTTCTAAACTAACATATGGATCTGTGTTGTCTGACAATAAATGATATTATTATTATTATACATTTGAAAGAAGAAATAGCAATTATAGTTATAATTTTTATTTTTTTAAAGCATGTAACTGCTTGATGTTTAAATCTAAAAAAACATCGGTGCGGGTTCGAGTCCCGCCTGCTGCCTGGTCCGCGTGGATTTTTTCCTAGCTATATTTTCTTTAGATTTAATCATCAAGCAGTTACATGCTTTAAAAAAATTAAAATTATAAACAAATTTTAGATGTTTAAGACAAATAAAATTGTTATCGCCATAACTTATTATTTTTACGTTTTAGACTTTTTAAAAAAGTTTATTTTACATGTTGTAGCGTATTTTATTGAAATCCACTAAAGTATGTAGTACCGATTCATCTGGGACGATTATACATCAACATATAATACGACTGGAGGAAATTTAATTTCCAGAAACATGGAGATCCTTGGAAGCTGTCTGGTTAAAACAGATGAGTTCTTTACCGTGATGGTGACTCCATTGGTGAGTTACATAATAGATCTTTTAAGTTGCAGTGACTACAGTGCCATTAGGACAACATTAAAACTATAAATTAAATAAATACTCAATTAGCTTTATTAAAAAAAAAACTCCTTTTGATCAATAGTAAATTTAAATAAAAACAGTAAATAATAAAACAAAGGTACTTTAACAATCGGGAACAATTATTGTTTTTTTTTATTTATTTATTCTAGAATCTCGACTGTTAAAATATCCTTGTTTCTTACTAAACAGAATTCTGAACTACTGAATTAGATTTTTTTTCAGTTTAGTTTAGTAGTAGTTTAGTATTTTATTCAATATCATATTTTAAGCAGGCGAGTTTTCTGATTTATTGAATTTTACTATTTTATGTTCGCCATTTTGAATGTATAACTCAAAATATTTATAAAAATACACATATATAATTTGTAAAATGTATTTTAAAACCCTGATAGATATAATGGATGTATCTTTTAGAACCCTACAATTTGATAGCCGAATTTATTTAAAAGTGGTTTCATGAGTCAAATATGAGCTCCGTACGTACGTACTCAATACATATTTCTGAATATTTAGTATTTTTTATCATTTTGGATTAAGAGTGCGCTATAATAATAATTTATTTAATAAAAATATGGAATAAATGGTGATTAATTATCATCGTGTCTCTCATATTTTACTGTTAGACGGTATGGAACAGTTTATAAATTAAATGAAAATGTATGTGTTATTTAAACTGATAAGTACAATGCCAAGTTTTAGTTAATATGACTATGTTTATGGCTAATAAAATTTACTTCTTTCTTTATATAAAAAGAAAGAAACGCAGTTAGAATAATTTTGCAAAGTAATATAATTTGCAAAAAAATCAAAATTTGAATTTTGGTTATAAAAAATAATGGACTAAAAATATAAATTAAGTTTTGGAGAGGTATTTATAAATGAAATTTAATTTTATTATAAACAAACATTATGTTCATTCATCAAGAACTGTTTATTCAATTATCGTTCATTCTTTTGATGTCCCATCCCTAACTTTTGTGCTGGTGTACGCTCGAATAATTGCATTGTTACAAATTGTTAGCGTGTGTACGTTTTTTTTGTTTGTGTGACGTAACTTTTGAAGTGTGCGTTTATAGCAACAACACGCTCGTGTTTGAGAGAGTATTGCATATTTTCGTTAGTGTGCTATACATGTGTAAATCGTCCCGCGCCAAAAATGGTGGTAAATGTTGTTCGGCATGGTATGTGCTCTAAGGTGTAAAACGAAGTATATAAAAAATATTTTTGTAGCTGGCAATAATGAAAAGTCTATTCTCTATGACGTTTCATGTCGGCTTGGATGTTAATGTTTATGCGCGAATTTGTATTTATTTACTTTTCGTAATTAATGCGGCTAACTATTTCAGTTAATACGTAACTATGTCAATTATTACTGTGCAGAGTGATATAAGCTAACAAAATGCCTTACTATTGTACGGTGCCGCGGTGTACGTCGATGGCAGGGAAGGCGAAGAATGTATCTTTTCATCAATTTCCAAGGGACGAAGAACTTGCTAAACTATGGAACAAGATTTTAAAACGAGGGAAACCTTATACAAAATATTCTAAAGTGTGCAGTTTACACTTTAAACCTGAAGATTATAGCATAACAAGTGTTGGAAAAAATAAAGGTATCTTCTTACATCTAATGTAAATATTTTGGTTTTTAGTCTAAAGTATGTGTAATTTTGCTATTAATACATCAGTAGAACATTGTAGATACCTACATTATGATAAGCACAGCTTCTTTAATATACTGGCACAATGGAAAAGCTATTATTAAACAAAATCAGTCTCCTTCCAAAGTAATCATGTGTTATTTTATTCAGCTTAAAAATAACTTTTTATGGAGTGCTCTATAGTTTGATAATTATAATATTGCATTATGATAACAGTATTTTTGCAGGACAAAATATATTATTGGCCTGACATGCATTCTGATAGTTATTAGCATGCCATGATAAGGAAAAAGTTCGGCCATCCCTGTCTTAGAGTCAGATTTTTCTATATACCTTTATACTATGTATAACCAAAAAAGCACTTTTATTTTATATTTACAATTTGTCCCTTTTTCATTTATAAAAAATTCCATTTAATTCATATACAGTCGAAACCGGATATGACGACATTGATGGGACCATATAACTTCGGACGTTATGTTCGAAAGTTGTTATAAGCAATATACAGAAGTTGTCATATTATTGTAATAATGTAAGTATGTAGTATGGTTATAGATAATGAATATAAGCTTGTTTTCAAATAAAATATTGAAAAAAAAAAGAAATAAGTTTACTATGAAAAAATTTGAATACCTACAGTATATTTTGATTTGCTGGAACAAGTATATGGTTAGTTGTTATAGCCGATGAATATCGATATGAACTTTATCACTATTCCTTGGCTATAAGTCGTTTTAAGCGAAATTTCGCTATATCCAGTGTTGTTATAGGCGGTTTGTTTACTTGACGGTTTATATAGGGTTTCGGTCAGCACCTTGCCAATTGGTTGTAATAACCGACACGTCGTTGTAAACAATGTCGTTATATTCGGTTTTAACTGTATTCAGTAAAGGCTGAATTTAGTTTAGGCAAAATACATTTTGAATGTAGTTGCTGATTTGTCTTAAGCAATTTTTTACGCTCTTCAACTTTTTGTCATCGGTAATATTGTACTTGCTGTTTCTGACACTTTAAGTCTATGTAGAGTTGTAGTAATAATACTCATTACCTATGGCGAGGACCTCGAAGGCGCAGGTGGTTAGCATGATTGGCTGCAATCATTGAAGTTAAGCAACTTTCGCAGTGGTCGGTCATTGGATGGGTGACCAAGCTGTTGGTCCCGGTTGCATCTGCAGTCGTTAGCACCCGCCTATCAGCACTGGGCCCGCCTGGTGGGTCATGACCTACTCTTCTTTTTCATCCATAGGGATAGCCTGTGCCCTAGAAGTGGAGAGATTAATAGGCTGATGATGATGATACTATGGATATGGATAATGCATTGAAAAAATGAATGATATGAAATTGATCCTCATTGAGTTCAGGAGCTCGATGGCGCAAGTGGTTGGCGCGTTCGGCTGCGATCGTTGAACTTAAGCAACTTTCGTAGTGGTTGGTCATTAGATGAGTGACCGAAAATTACTATCTCGAGCTCGTTAAGCCGTTGGTCCTGGCTGCATCTGCAGTCGTTAGCACCCACCTATCCGCACTGGGCCCGCGTGGTAGGTCATGGCCCAATCTCCCTATTCCATCCACCGGGAAGGCCTGTGCCTCAGCAGTGGGGACATTAATAGGCTGATGATGATGATGATGATGAAATTGGTCTTCTTTTTTATTCTGTGGTTGTTTCCTGTTTTACAAATTGGACATTAACAAAAAAACTGGTCTAATAGTTCGAAGAATCATTCTCAATGGCTAGGTATAGATGTTAAATTGAAACCAGTCATTCAAGAAAATGAGAAGCTCAAAACGGTTGTCCTAGATTTGCAATCTCAAGTACATAAGCTAGAGAAATAAACACGAGGAAACAATGTTCATGGAGTCAAGTAAACTGAGAACAATAGTGCCGAACTCAGAAAAAAAGTAATGGAAATTTTGAATCCATGCAATCAATCCAATTCTGAGTACTATTATCAACAATATATCTATATATATAAAACTCAAAGGTGACTGACTGACATAGTGATCTATCAACGCACAGCCCAAACCACCGGACGGATCGGGCCGAAATTTGGCATGCATCACAATTTTATAGCTTTAGCAAAGGCTTTTTTTTATTTTATTTAGTTATTTATTTATGTGATATTGTTAAGCAATCACACAATGAAGGGCGCTGGATAGATTCAAGCCCAGTAGTATTGTGATTTTTTTTGTAAAATATTTTTTTCTTTATTGTAAAGTAGTTAAAAATTATAATTTTTATTATTTTTAAAGCATGTAACTGCTTGATGTTTAAATCTAAAGAAAATATAACTAGAAAAAATTCCACGCGGACTAGGCAGCAGACGGCAGTTAAAAATTTTCACAGTTATAAATTTAAAAAACCATTGAGACAAACTAATCTTCACAATAAAATAAAACAAGCTTCAACTGGTTAGATATTATTATTTACTTATTATATAATTTTTTATTTACTTTCAAAAGTAAATAAAAAAATATTATTCTGACGACACATTCCTGCAAAGTATGCGAAACGTCAATAAATAAACAAAATTAGTGCATCTAACCCGTTGAAACTTGTTTTATTTACTGAGTGATGTACGTGAAACCTAATAAACAAATAATCTTCACAATGTTTCAGGTCAGTGGAGGACCCTACGTAAGGATGCAATACCCTCTCAGAATCTGCCCTCCGATTCACCAGTGCCTTACCACAGACACAGAAATACTGACTCTTGGCATGCAGAAAGCCCGTCTTCAGGTATAATAGATACTCAGGTAAATCCAATTTTTAGTATCAATCAATATCAGTATCGTTTATTCAGTCTAGACTGTTACAAGCACTTGTGAAAGTCGAAAAGCTACGCCATCGGTTCGCAAATCTACGGCGGGAGACCTTGTACTGAGAAGAACCGGCAAGAAACTCGGCAAGTGTTTTTTTCTCCCTGTATTATATACAGCGTCGTCAAATTGATAAATGACTTGAATATGAGGTATCTCATGAAGTCACTCTACAAAGATACTATTATTATACTAAGAAGTGATGAAGACTCTCCTTGTGACGGTCTCCGTGGCCGAATGGTTTGTACGCCGGGTTTCATGGTGTCGTCGACTCTAGAGGTCCCGGGTTCGATTCCCGGTGGGGGCAGATGTTTGTGTGATGAATACGAGCATTTGTACACCAGCCATCCATGGATGTTTAATATGTATTTCTATAAAAATATATACTCATATAAATACAGCATAATGTATTCTATCCGTTACCCTAGTATCTCATAACAGAAGCTTTACAGTGCTTACTTTGGGGTTAGGCTAATTGGTGTGAGTGTTGGAAATCTTTACTTTATTTATTTACTCCTCTACATCGGCGATTGGTTTGCATCTGCTGTCGTTAGCACCCACCAATCCGCACTGGGCCCGCGTGATGGGTCACTGCCCAATCTCTCTATTCTATCCATAGGGAAGGCATGTGTCCCAGCAGTGTGGACATTAATAGGCTGATAGGGATGCTATTTTTTTTCTCTATCTATGAGGAAATTGACAAAAGTATTGGACATGCAGTACAGAGATATGTTGTATGATATGTCTTGGCTATTAACTTATTGTTAATAATATTAATGTGATGACGTTGACATGAACATATGTTTTCCGTTTTTGATGTCATCTTTCAATTGATGTCACTGTATGAAACAATAGAGGGAGAAAAAAATAGCCCTTGCTGAGTTTCTTGCCGGTTCTTTTCAGTACAAGGTCTCCCGCCGGCCGTAGATTTACGAACCGATGGCGTAGCGTTTGACTTTCACAAGAGCTTCTAACAGCCTGAAGTGAATAAATGAGTTTGAGTTTGTTGCATGACGTCACGCCTCGGTACAATGTTTTTTTTACTTAGGAGAGGAGGACTTAATGTGACGTCACGGGGACTTTTATTTAATTGACAAAGGATAAAATGAATGCCCATACTCAGTGCCGTCTTTGACCTATTGGAGGCCCTGGGCATATTAGGATAATGACTTCCGTTTGGTGATCTAACAGGAACTAGGGACTTTGTATTTGATCTGAGGGGCCCCCTATCGATCGCGGGGCCCTGGGCACTTGCCCAATGTGCCCACTGGGAAAGACTAGGTCTGTCCATGCCTTTTTCGATAATGTAACTAACGTACTTAATAATAATTAATAGAATTTCGTTTATTTAGCCCCGTCAACACCCCTGTTATGATAAATTTATATATTTCAATATGTATTCAGGTACACCAACATATGGCACAAGCTATCTACATGCAGACAATGTTGGCTATGCAAGCCGCTGGTAGCTTTGAAGGGAATGACTCCAATAATGGTAAGAAATAGAATACAAAGACACTCTTTTTTTTTTAAGAAATAATTTTTTTGAAGTGTATCTTCTTTACGCACGCTTGATTTGGGCGGTAAGCTGGCGAATGCGTTACGCGTTACGAAAAGTGTGTTCGGGCGAGGCGAACGGGAGTGGAGTGGGGGATATAAGCAAGAAAAAGCAGTGCGCACGCACATTTTCCATCTTTCTTTCTCTTATAGCTAGTAAATGCAGTTTGACAACCTCTGTGGTCGAGTGGTTTGTACGCCGGGTTTCATGGTGTCGCCGACTCGAGAGGTCCCGGGTTCGAATCCCGGTGGGGGCAGATGTTTGTGTGATGAATACGAGCATTTATACTGCAGTCATGGATGTTTAATATGTATTTCTATATAAATATACTTTTATATGTACTGTATATGTATTCCATCCGTTACCCTAGTATCCCATAACACAAGCCTTACAGTGCTTACTTTGGGGCTATGCTAATTGGTGTGTGTAAAAAAAAAGAAATATCTATAATGTACATACAGGTATATATTGTACATATATATACATACAGATGGAGCTAAAGAAGTTTCATTTCAGTTGTGTGGTCATAAGCACACTCGTTTTTTTATTTATTATTGAAATATTCTCTTGTCTATGGATCATCCATATCTACCATTATCCAACAGACTCCCAACAGAACGACGAAGCGCATTCCTCCAGCGAAAACCACAGAGAAAAGAGCCAATCACCAATCGCAAACGGTTTCAAAGCTTCGCTCAGATGCTCAGAGTGCTCAAAATACTTCAAAGACCCCGACGTTTTTGTTTTACACCAGAGGACACACAGAAAGCACAACGAAAAGGAGAATCTTAATACAAATACAGAAGAATTGAAACCGGAAATGGACAATTTCAATATAAACGGTGAGAATACGCTTAAATCCAATCCGATATTAGCCAATCTTCTAAAATCCACAGAAGTAAACCAATCAGATGTACATGAGAACGTTTCTAGTATAGAGAATCATATAATGGCAGCTGTTAAAGTCAGCATGGAGACTTATTTGAGAAATTTATTGATTTCTCAAAGTATTTTGCCCGATGCGGTCGATGAAAAATCTAGTGATCTGAATTCGGATTGTGATAGAGGAGTTACTGTTCCGACTGATACTAGTAATTGTACTGTTAATGATGGTACGTAGCATATTTTTGTTAGTATGCAACATATTTTTTAAAATATTGTCTTTTTCGTTTCAAAATCATTTAATCAAGATCCCATGCACGAATTAGAAATTATATGAAAGCATAACTCTTTAACAAAGACTGGTAATTCTTACTAAATTAACAGACAGCAAAATGCTTTGACAAATCAAATATCTGCATTAGAATTCGGCTATCCGTTCATTGGGTAAGATAACGGTAAACTGAAATCCCAACCAATCCCATGACCGGAGTGTTGATCGCAGTTTTCTCGCCCCACCCACTTGATCGCAGTTCATATTCTATATTATTTCTAATTTGTTGATCCCATGTCACATTATTATATATATATATATATGTACTTAGAAATTGTGTTCAATAGAAATTACAATAAACCAAGTTTATAAACAGCCATATAGAAAGGTACTTAGATATCGAATTTATCTTATATTGATCGTACTAGAGGTGGGCCTTTTTAGAATAACGACTGTCCGGAACTTTAAATTGACTTTTTTTTTTAAATTACTTCGAATATGAATAATAAAAGTACATATTGATTTAAATACCATACCATTGTAACTAAGTGAGTAATGGTAACCATTTTGTGACTAAAAAGTCTAGACTTTTTTTCTAAATTTTTGTCAGGACTTTTGTAATTCCTAAATGGTAACCCTAGATGTGACTAGATGCTGTTATTGGATGCCGATGCGATCTAGTTTTTGTCAACGATACTATAGCAACAGTGCCACAAACTTATCTATGCCGGTGGAGAATGTCGCTAGCGGTGAACAAATCTATATATATAATAAAATGGTAGGAATATCAAATGTTTTTATAAAATAATACTTGGGGTGTGATCTACAATCGATAGCGAAGCCAAAAATATAGTTTTTAGAATTTTTGTCTGTTTGTCTGTATGTCCGGGATAAACTCAAAAAGTACTGCATGGATTTACTTCAAATTTGGCAAGAATATTATTAAGAAGTCGGGTCAACATATAGTCTACATATTATCACGCTATCACCTACGGGGAACGAGCAGTGAACCTTTATTTCTAACGTCACGCGTACGAAGTCGCGGGCGACCGCTAGTATCTAACAACGCCCATCTCTAGATCGTACAGTTAAACGCACAATAAATGAATTATGTAATTTTGATGTGGAAATAAAAAGAAAAAATAATTGTTAAATATATATAGTATTACTAAAGTATTCAAGCCTTATTCATTGCATATATATAAGTATATTTTATAGAAGCAGATTTACATACATATTCATTGTAGAGTGAAAATTTCTCAAATATATTTTTAAAATCAGTGGTGAGTGCAAATTTTCACCCAAGATTTTCAAACGCGATTCTTATAGCTTCGCTGGTATATCTAATAGCTAAGCTGAGCTGATAATGTTAAAGTTTAGCAGTGGTCGGTGATCGGATGGGTGACCGAAACTATCTCTCACTCCTCCGTGCTTCGGATGGCACGTTAAGCCGTAGGTCCCGGCTGCATCTGCAGTCGTTAGCACCCACCAATCCGCACTGGGCCCGCGTGGTGGGTCATGGCCCAATCTCCCTATTCCATCCATAGGGAAGGCCTGTGCCCCAGCAGTCGGGACATTAATAGGCTGATCAACTAAGCTGATAACTAAGTTGGAAATCGCACTATATCATTTAAAAAGGAAATGAAAATAGAAATGAAACTGTACAGTTTAGATAATATTTTAATTTACTACAAAATAGCTCTTGGTTACTCTAAAATAGCTTTTTTTAATATATAGCCAGGTAGGCAAACGACTCTACCCCAGCTACGTCCCCTAGCATGAGCTCCACGATATGATATGTAACGCATTTTTATCACCCTCAACTATGGAATTGGACAGTTAGGCGCGATAAAAACTGTGATGTAATGTAAATTGTGGTGCTCATCAATGATGATAATAAATCTTGGGACCGCGACCCAACGATATTAAATACCCTAGATACCCCACGTGCGCTCAAAATGTGTCCCAATCAAGAAGTGCTTGAACTCCACTCAAGCACGTCTTGGGTCACAGTCACGCGCGGACCGTTGAAAAATCAACATGCCGCTGAGCTCCGTGAAAACAGGCGAAAGAAATACAAAAAGAATGTATAATGTCGTATTTTCGACAGATATCTAATCAATGTTTGTTAATTTAACGCATTTGAAGTAAATTTTGTTTTAATACTTACTATAAACTGATTTAATAGAAAATATTTGTGATATTCAAATGCATGGTCGATAATGTAGCCGTCTCTTTTCCTCGCGGTCCGTACCTGCTATATTACTAACAGCGCATTCAGAATTGCGCGTACAGTCAAAGAAATAAGGTCTTTATTCTTCTGCATGTAGCAATGTCGTAAAATTTTACGAGCTTACATATCGAACTGTCCTAACTCTTTGACGCGTGCATTTTAATTAATACCTTATATAGTATGCTTTAAAGGTGATTTTCAATGTTGAAATAATGCCTTATATTGTTTAGACTACGCGATCATCTTACGGAGCTCCGTGGATCGTCCAATGTACCTTTTGGACAGGTTTCGGGCATGATTTTGTTCGTGTTGGTGTATCTAGGTTATTTAATATCGTTGCCGCGACCTTACAATAGCTATACTTTGTCAACAACAAATTAAGAATTAAAGGTCAATTCAACTTTTTAATAGGAATATGCTGCCGAACACATATTCATAAATTTTCATTATGAAACATAAAATTTGGAATAACCAAATATTTGTAAGACTTTTAAATGCTTTTTGTATATTGTTTGAATGTATATTTTTCCGTCCATAATACGATTTACATATAACTCTTATGTACTTAAAAATGTAAATCAGAGGGCATTGCAGTTAGGGTTATCATCCGTACGGATAAGTCTGGACATGTCCGGACTTTAAGACTATAGTAGTTTTAGAATATAAATTACATTATGAACATTTAAATAAAAGTACCTACATATTGATTTAAATACCATACCATGAAATTTATTAATGGTAACCCTTATTGCAGTGCGTTATATTATTAAGCAGTTTTTTGTACTGGCAACACTTTATTATAGATTAAATGATCTATCGATTTTGACTGGTATTATAAGTTAAATAAATAAATAATTAATTAAAGAAATGTCAGGACTTTTGAAATTTATTAATGGTAACCCATATTGCAATGCGTTGTATTATTAAGCAGTGTTTTGTACTGGCAACACTTTATTATCGATTAAATGATCTATCGATTTTGTAGACTGGTATTATAAGTTAAAATAATTGTTAGTAGTATTATTTTTAGTTAAATAACTCCTCTGGCGTGAATTATGCTAAATGCATTTGCAAGAATACTATCCTTCTGGTGAAATAATTAAAATATGAGATATTTTTCTTTTATATGAACATTATAAAGTCACTAGATTGAAATCCAAAAAATATATTTTCTACTTGTAACTTTGTTAAGTAGATGTATTGTATTATTATGATTATGGCAAGGAGCTTTGTAAAATATGTGTCAATGCAACTTTAAAGAAACCTTGCGAAATTCGTGGTGTGAAAACCAATTTTGTACGAATCAATTTTACTGTTAACTCCAACAGTGAATAGAATACTAAGATGTTTATAAACTAGTATTACATAGAAAAATTTGCCACCAATTTCATGCCACCAATTTCGCAATAGGGTATTTGACAGTATCTCTTATCTATTAGACAAGTCCGTCTGTCTGTGGTGCTGTTTCAGCGGCCAAACCGTAAGAGATATATAAAGAGAATATTTAAGTTATAAGTTAAGAATAGTCTGATAAGACATACCGGATTTGAGTAACGTAGCACTTCCGATTTTCGAGAAATCAGGTTTTGGTGAACATTTGGTTCACTGGTTTGCTAGTTAAAAATAATGTGTCATATGTTAGCATCTGTGTTTAGAATGAATATTAGCAGGGGTATTTACTATTTTTATAAAAAAAAATATTATTTTACTAAAAACCCACGAAAAAGATAATAGTTTTCTTATCTATTGTCACGTGACCCAAAACGCGGGATTGGCGGAGCCTAAAATGACGTCACACGCAAGTAAACTTCCGGTTAAAGTGAAAATTACATTGTATCGTTTGACGTTTTAATAACAGTCGTGTGACGTCACACACTAGTAAGACGCCATATTGTCCAGAGAAAGGTTTTCGCGGCAACTTGAAAATGGAGTTTTTGATTTGGTTATTTTTACTGAAATACACAACAGAATGATGAATATCCACTTTTAACGGACTCCATAAACATTAGTCAATAACGTGAGATCGTTTTCCAAAACTTGTCAAATACCCTATTTTGTAATGATCCACAAGATCTAAATATGATAATAGTTTACTCTTATCATAGTCTTTAAAGGACGAAAAGGTGTGACTGCTGTCAAATTAAATTAATTAGACCCATTTAAGTGCAGTGCGACCAAGATATTGCAGCGCGTGGCCAAAAACGGAACTGATTTGAAGAATATTTTTAATTTTGAAGCATTTAACAGCTAGATGTTTAAATCTAAAGAAAATTGCACTAGAAAAAAATTCACGCCGACCAGCCAGCAGACAGGACTCGAACCGGCACCCTGCGCTATCCGGGCTAACGCACTGACCATTATGCTACCGCGGCCCTGATGGCCGCTTCGAATTTTCTCTAGCCTTTTTTAAGGCAGCAAAGCAGCGCCATTTCTACGCATTTTAGGAGATTTTATAAAGCAGTTAAATACTAAAAAAATATAACTAATTGCTTTCAAATGTTTATTACTTGTAAAGGTATTCATTTAACATTGTGGATTACCTACAATGCGAAGAGATGGCGCTGCCTTGCAGCCAAACAAACGCTAAAGGAAATTCGACACGGACAGTTAGGGCCGCGGTAGCATAATGGTCAGTGCATCCGCCCGGATAGCGGAGGATGCGGGTTCGAGTCCCGTCTGCTGTCGGTCGGCGTGGAATTTCTGCTAGTAAAATTTTCTTTAGATTTAAGCATCC